CGGCGCAGGCGCAGGCGCAGGCGCCGGTCGCGGTGCTGGCCGCGGTGCTGGCCGCGGCGCTGGCCGCGGCGCCGGCCGCGGCGCAGGCCGCGGCGCAGGCGCAGGCTCTGGCGCTGGCTCCGGCGCGGGCGCTGGCGCGGCCGCCGATGGCACGAGCACAGCCAGCGCGGCCTGCACCTTGATGAAGGCAGCCGCGGCGGCCGGGCCCGGCGCCGTTGTCTTGTCCGGGTGGAGCAGCAAGGACAGCGAACGGAACGCCTTCTTGGCGTCCTGCTCGGTCCACGACTCGCCCAGCCCGAGGATCGCCAGCGCCGCCTTCTTGTAGGGCGCGGAAGACTGCCCCGGCGCGGGAGGCCGATTGCTCGGCCACCGGGCGCAGCTGACGTGGCGGACCGCCTCCTCGGAGGACCCGAAGCGAGGGCCGGCCAGCAAGAGCGGCGTCGGCACGAGCCGCTCAAAGTCGACGTTGGGGATGTACTGCTGAAGCACCTTGGACAGGATGGCGGCCTTGAGCTTGGTGAACGCCTTGTTCTCCTGGAAGCCGTCCTTGCGCTGGTTGATGAGCAGGCCGTAGTCCTCGAGCTTGTTGTCGTCCGCGAGCTTGAGCTTGACGAGCACCACCAGGCCGTGCCAGTAGGTGCGGACCTTGTCGGCAACCGAGGCGTGGCTGCGAAAGCCGTTCGCCTGCTTCGGCAGTAGCTCGAACATCGTGACCATCACGCCGTTGATGGAGATGCAGAGGCCCATCGGCAGCTCGTCGACATTGGAGCTCGTGCCGACGTTCTCCTTGGTGGTGAAGCCGACGACCACGTCCGCCTCGATGGGCAGCGTGTTCGGGCACGTGCCGTGCGCCTTGTACGGCGGAAGCGTCCTCTTGCACTTGAGCATCGTCTCGCGGAACGGCCCCTTGCCCGCCTCGGAGCGGTGCGAGGCGGCCCTGCCCTTGATGGTGATCTTGAAGTCGCTGTCGTCGCCGGCGCCGGACTTGTAGAAGGCGTAGGAGAGGTAGCGCGAGAGGCTGGTGTCAAACTCGTGCGCCAGCTTGGGCATCATGATGTCGCCCCGCTCCTTGCCCACGTCGATCTCGTCGGCGAGGTTGGAGATGACGTGAAGCAGCCCGCCGACAGCGGGCAGGAGCTCCATGCACACCTCGAGGAGCTTGTCGAGGTCGGGGCGGCCGAGGTCGGTGCCAAAGGCGGTGAAGCGGTCGAAGAAGCCAAAGGAGGAGCCCGGCACGTTCTCGTACCACACGCCCTCGGCGAAGCTGTAGACGAGGTACGGAAGCAGGATGCCGTCGGTCTGCTCCTCCGCGATGAGAGACGAGGAGAGCAGCGCGCAGTAGAGGTAGTCGGCGCTGCGCGTGGCGACGAGCACGTCCTTGCCGATCCGGAGTGGCCCCGTGATGGCCCCGACCCCGTACTGCCCGATCTTGCGGGCGTCGCCCAGCGCGGTGGTGCCACCGAGGTTGAAGAGCGGGCCCATGAAGGAGTCGAGCGTGACGGTGCCGCAGGTTGGGCTGCCCTGGACGGCGTCGACGGGCCCCGGGCCGTTGTCGTAGGTGAGGAGGGCGGTCTTGCCGTATATCGTGCGGACTTCCACCTTGAACTCCGTCGCACCCGCGTCCTTGGCGTTGGCCGCTTTGTCCTTGAACGCCGTCTGCGCGGAGTCGTGCGCGGTGACGAGGGATTTCATGTAGTTGGGCGTCACTTGCATGTGCCGGAGCGCGAGGGTTGGTAGTGGCATCTGCGATCAAGGAAAGGTGATCGGATCGGTTAGTCGCTGCTGGCGCGGACGCAACGACTGACATGAAGGGATGGCACAGGCGCGCGGCGCGCGGCCGTGAGGGGAGAGCTGTAGCTGCAGAGAAGTGGGTGGGCTTGGGAGGCTGGGAGGTCGGGCAGGCGGCGGGGGCGGTCATCGGCGCGCGCCTCGCTGTACGTGTTGGGCTGGTGAGCGCGAGCGCGTAGACAAGGAGGTATGCCTGACTGGGCTCAGGAGTGGGTGGAGGCGGAGCTGGAGCGCCGGAGCTGGAGCAGGTTGGCGAGGTGGAGCAGGTCGGTCGGAGTGGTGGAGCGGCGGCCAGGCCGGCCAGTCTGGGCGCCGGCATGGCTGCCGGGAGGGCGGGGGCGGCTCGCGGCCGCCGCCGTCGCCCGCGGCGGAGGTGGAGCCGCTGCCGCGAAGGCCGCTCCAGCTCCACCATCGAAACAAAGAAACCCCGGTGAACTTGGAGTGATCCTCCCCCATCCCTCGTCTGGGTTTGTCTGTTTTCTTTCTTTCTTTTTGAGTGATCAGACGCCCGAGGGTGGGCGACGGCTAACACCACACTTCTCCCCTAAAATCCCTGTGTGGTGGCGGCGTACCGTCCTCCTATCCCTACCTTGGGTGGCCTGCTTTCTTTCTTTCTTTTTGAGTGAGTCATCAACCTCACACCAAGGAAAACTAAAAACACCAAGGGCCGGGGAGCAGAAAAGCGCACCCAGCCCGGTGTATTCTTTTTTTGCTTGGGCGGCCCTGGATGCCGGGGTAGGTAGGTAGGGTCTGGGCCCTCCCGTCGGGGTTTTCCCTCTTCCACGCTGGAATTTTCACAGCAAGATGAACAACACGCTGTCGCAATCGCACCGGCAGGGATGTTGACCGCCGGCGGCTCCGAGATATTGACCGTGGGCGGCTGGCAGGTTGTCGTCCTCACCTGCGGGCACGCGGTGCTGCCCGAGGGCATGACGCACCTGCCAAACAACGCATTCAGCGGCCGCACTTTGCTCGTCTCTGTTGCCTTTCCGAGCCTCGTATCCATCGGCTATCGGGCCTTCTTCGGCTGCCGTTCTCTCACCGGCGTCACCTTCCCTGCCGGCCTCACGGCCATCGGCGACTACACCTTCTCCGGATGCTCCTCTCTGACCTCCGTCGTCCTCCCAGCCGATCTCACCTCCCTAGCCGTCTGCGCCTTCGACCGTTGCTCCTCCCTGACCTCCGTCGGCCTCCCGCCGGCCTCACGTCCGTCGGCAGCGGCGCCTTCCGCAGCTGCTCCTCCCTCTCCCGCAACGCCTTCCCCGCCGGCCTCACCTCCATCGACCACGCAGCCTTCGAGGGCTGCTCCGCCCTTGCCTCCGTCGGCCTCCCAGCCGGCCTCACGTCCGTCGGCGACGAAGCCTTCAACAACTGCTCTGCCCTCACCTCCGTCACCTTCCCTGCCGGCCTCGCCTTCATCGGCGAAAGGGCCTTCTACAACTGCCGCTCCCTTACCCGCGTCACCTTGCCAGCTGGCCTCAACTCCATTGGCAACTACGCCTTCGACGGCGCCTTCCCCTTCTGCCCCCTCTCCCGCGTCATCGTGCCAACCACCGCCAACATCAGCAGCCGCGCCTTCTCCGACACCACCACCATCCTCCGCCTCCTTCCCAGAAAGATGCGCTGGTACGCGGCGGTTGACCTGGCTCTCGCCTACAAAGCGCTGCCGCCCCGGCCTTCTCCTCTGGCTGGAGCGGGCCCAGATCAGGCTCGGCTCTTACGGCCCGGACGGCGCAGCGCGCCAGCGCGACCGCGAGGCGTTCGAGGGCGACTTTGGGCAGGGGGGATATTAAAGTGTAGTGCACGCACGCACGGGCGGGCGCAGCCGTTTTCGTCTTTGTGATCAGATTTTTTTTTTCGCAAAGGTGGAGCTGGAGCGGCCTTCGCGGCAGTCGCTCCACCTCCGCCGCGGGCGACGGCGGCGGCCGCGAGCCGCTTTCGCCCTCCCCGCAGCTATGCCGGCACCCAGGCTGGCCGGCCTGGCCGCCGCTCCACCACTCCGACCGACCTGCTCCACCTCGCCAACCTGCTCCAGCTCCAGCGCTCCAGCTCCGCCTCCACCAACCTGAGGGCTCTCTCTGCTCCTTGCGGCTTTGCCCTCGCTACAGCCCCGTCCAGCGCGACTCGGTGCGCCGCGCCCTCGCCCGTCGCGCCTCGCCTCCGCGCCCCGCCGCCCTCGCCACCCCTGCTTGCTCTCCTTCTCTCCCTCCTCCCGCCTCGCGCCGCGTGCGCCGCCGCCTGCACATGCTCTACCCGACTCGTGCCCTGCAACGCCTCGCAGGCATGCAGAATCGCGCACGAGCGGCCGCTAACGATCGCTACCCGTCGGGCCTGATGCCGCCCGACGAGCTTGGGAAGAAGCGTGGAAGGTACGTTCTCGGTGAGGCAGGGAGCCCGCCGACGTCTCGCGCACTCTGCTTCGCGGCGGAGGTTGAGAGCCCGGCCTCGAAGAGGGCCCGAACGCGCTCCCCGCTGAGCGATGACCCCCGTGTCGAACGCCACCGCTACCAAGAGATGCCGGCGCCGCCCGTGCCGAACGGTTTTCTTGCGAACGTCGCCGTCGAGGCGCCAACGGGCCCGGCAGTCGACAACGCCGTCTTCAACCCCCACGGCGGTACCGCGATGCTCTCGGTCGAGGTGTCCGTGAGCAACGGCGGGAGCGACGACGACGTGTCGTCGCTCGCGCTCGCCGCAAGTGCTCGCCGCGGAGAGATCACCCTCCTCCGCGAGGCGGCTCCGCAAATGCCGCCGCCAGCAGCCGCCGAGCCGTCCGTCGCCAACCTAGCCAAGCAGACCGGACCGGCCGAGCCAGAGGCTCTCGGAGAGAGCCGGTCCCCCCTGCGCACGCCCCCATGCGTGCCGGTGCGGATGGAGCCACGGGGCTCTGTGCTCATCCACCGCGACGGCCTGCCCGGGGGTGTGATGCGCGGCGGCTACGACCGCCCCCCGCGCCACGGCTTCAACGGACGCGACCGCTGGACCTTCGACCACCGCGAGGGCCAGCCCGGCCGCGGCTACGGAGGCGTGTGGCGCGGCCCTCCTCCGCGCCGCGGCGTTGGAGACCGCGGCCCGCCGCCACCGCGTGGCGGCTTTGGTGGCGGTCACGAGCCGCCAAGGCGCGGCAGATTCGACGACGGCCGCGGCCCGCCACGCTACAG